CTCTCTCTCTCTCTCTCTCTCCTTCTCTCTCTCTCTTCTGAAGTAACAGAGATTCAACCCAGGGCCTTTGCATGCTAGGCTCCAACTTGTAATTCTCCAACCTCACCCTCCCTGATTGCTGGGTTTATAGGCATAGACTGCCATATCTGACTGCCTCCCCATTCTTAGTACTTGTATTTTACTTTCACATTGTCCAAGCAGAGTAATATACCTTTGGTTCCAGAACCATTATTAAAATTTGTTTTCACTAGTGTGACTTTCAGGATGAAAATCAAGTAAGTGTTTCCATGATCATGACTACAGTGGGATGATCAAAGAAAATGAACTTTTTATTCTTTGTGACTGATGTTGTTTTAATGAGCCCTGAGCCTCCTGTGAGGGTGGGAGAACATTCCCTTGCCGACTAATTGTGTGGCATTGTATCATGAGCTTCCTAGACTGACACACACTTGCAGACTCTGGGAAAATTAACAGGACTGGGGGTCATCCACATGGCTGAGTTGCAGTAAAGCAGTAGCTGCGTAGGAAAAGGTATGCAGGGATGTGGCCAGAGGAAGCCAAGGGGGTCTCTCCAGGGATCTCACAGGTGGCAGTTATTCCTCCCACAAGTTACAACCACAAGTGAAAACTGTCTGTTACACTCATTAGGGAGTCAGAGAACAGGATTTTAGTGGGGGCTGTTTGCGTAGGCATCACTGCCCAGTAATAATTAAAATTCCAGACTCCAAGAGATGAAGGAGTTAGGCACGAATCATGTAGTTTGTTCAAACACCTTAAGGCTCTGCATACCACCCACAACAGTAAGGAAGTGGTGGGGATACTTCTGAAATCCAGCTTCCCGAATACCAGCCAGTGGTCAACCTGGAAAGCAGTCCTTTCTAATAAGAGCAGCTTTAGGTTTGCCGTACCAGTGGTTTTGGGCTAATGATCTTTGAATTCAGATTCTGGCTCCCTTTGAGGTCTGGGTTAAATTGTTTCTGTTGAATGGCTTAGTCTTTTTTGAGTGGCACTCAGCCTTCCACATTTGGTCTGTTTTTCTATGCTTTTCTCTAGTGTATATGTGCATGTATGTGTGTATACTGTATATGTATGTACTTGGGTATGTGTGTACATGCATATGCACCACACATGTATATGTGTGTAATATGTGTGCTGGTGAAGGAGGTTTTCATGCATGCAGACCTGACAAAATAGACTAGGCTCCTTGAAAACCTTTCTCAATATTTTCACTAGCTGCTGTTGCTAGATGGCTGAGCTGATCTGGGCTGATTCTGGAAGTGGGGATGGTCCTTATGCCAACTCCTGATGACCAATTTAGCTCCTACATCTTGAACCTCCAGCTCAGTCCAAATGACTCGTAGTCAGAATGCCTCACCCACTGCCACTCTTTCTGCCTCATGCCAGTCACAGCCCTCAAACCACCTCTGCTCGATGCTCTACCCATCTTTTCTCGTCCATCTATCTAAGTTACAAAGGGACCTGCTCATCTCTTCCCTCAGCCCTTCCTGGGTCTCTTCTGGAGTTGCAAACTATAGGGCCAGCAGTCCCTCACATTTGTCTGTCCTAAACTTATCATTCTTCTTGATTCTGAACCCACTTCCCAACTTGTTGTGCATCCCCAAAGCACTTTTTACCATTCTCCCATTTAACTAATAATTAGATTAGATGCAGTTTTCTCTGAGCTTTGAAGGTATAACTACAAATTAAAAATTCTATTTTTGTTTTCCAAAAGGCAGTCTGACCTTTCTCTCTAGGAGCCTTTAAGATCTTTGTGAAGTTTTGGTGATTCCAGGTCACCTCTGCCTCTTCTATTCTCTTTTCCTTCCTTCCTTCCTTCCTTCCTTCCTTCCTTCCTTCCCTCCTTCCTTCCTTCGCGGCTTAACCTATTGTACATTTCTAGAAAAGCATGGAAATTTCAACCACTGATCTCTTCCATTCTCATTGGTACTATAGGTTTACAAATTGCCAGTTTTGTTGCAGAACTGGGAATTCAACCTAAAGCCTTTATACTGAGGTTTGTATTTTTAGTTTTCATCTTGAGATAGTGTTTCACTAAATCACTAAGCTGTTTGGGATGGGCTTGAACTTAGAATCTTCACAGTTCAGCCTCCCAGAGTGCAGTGATTACAAGCATTTGCACTTCTATGACAGGCTAACATTGCTAGTTTTTAAGCATAAGTCTAACAGTTCCTTAGGATAAATAGGTTTCTTTGTCACCAGGTGAGCAGCAACAAAGTCTCCAGGGATGACAATACATACTCCACACTGACCCATGGAGGCTTATGAGTGTACTATACATATGTATTTTCATAAAGAGTCACGAACAACAATTGTAATAAATTTAAGAAAATCATTTAATTACATTTTGAACATTTATCAGTATTGAGACTACCACCCCAAAAGATACAAATTGCGTATTTTTTGTAAATTGTTTACTTCATAATCACTTAATTACTGTAGTTGTGCTTCTCCTTTAATTGAATTTTGTGTTCCTTTCACCATGTACAAGTATATTGTTAGTAAGAACTATAAATTACAGTTGTTGCATAGTATTCGATTAAGTTTTGGATATTTGTTTGCTGATCCAGGACATTTCCAGTTCCTCAGCACTGTGTTCAAAGCATCTATAAACAAAAATACATAAGGCTTTTAGTATTTTTTGGCCAGTGTTATGGCTTGTGTCTAGATGTTCCCCTCAAAGCCTCATGCACTCATAAGTGGAGCTTTTTTAGAGGTGGCTGCATCTAGAGTGTGTGAAGCCGGGATTAAGGGTATGTGATTACTGAATCAGTCCACTGATTAGTTTGGCACCCGCCCTAAACCCAGTAGCCTAGATACAATATAAAAGAGGCAGAAAGAAGCTGATAAAGTGGTTTGGACTCACTGCTTGCTGCTTTCACTTCCCTGCTTGCTGTGGCCTGTCTCTCCTCTGAGATGCCTCCTCTCCATGCCACTCTGCTTTGGAGCCAGCCCATTGTGGACTGAGACCTCTACAAAACATGAGCCAAATAAGCTCTTCCTCCTTTAACTTTGGGTATCAGGTATTTTGTCTGAGTAACAAGAAAAATAACTAAGAATGCTAAGAGAGTATAGATTTCTTGAAATTTAGACAAAAAGTTATGAGCCAGTTAAAGAATTCTTGTATATATTGCTGTCTTGCTTTCCAAAAGTAATGCATTAATTGACAGTAATATTTTATTTTAAGTGTTCTTTTTTGATTTAGTAAAAAACTCGTTTTTAAAAATTTTATTTCTTTGATTACCAGGAGAGGTTGTCAAGTACATTATATGTGCCAGGCCCCTCCCTAGATGTTAAGATACTGTGGTGAATAGAACATATTAAGTCTTCCTTGAAGAGGTACTTTCAGAGGCAGGACAGACAACCACTGCTTCGTCACTATGCCACTTATCTAGTAGTAATAACCACTGTGAAAAAAATAAAAAATGGCAGCCATGATGCAGAGGATTGGCTGAGCTCAGGGATGGTCATCCTGCTATGGCAACATTTAAAAAGAATCTGGAGGGCCAGGGATTTGGCTCAGTGGTTATGCTGACTGCCTCACAAGCGCAAGGACCTGAGTTCAATCCCTGGTACCAAAAAAAACCCAAAAAAAAAACCCCAAAAGAATCTGGAGGAAGTATAGAAATGGGTAATTAACATATTTGAGGCCAAATGCCATATAAGGTCTTATAAATTTATGATGACAGTTTTGATTTAGCAGGGCCCCCAGAAACATCTGCAGAGGGCCTTTGGGATCTGTGGACCATATCCTGAAAATCATTGGACTTAACTGCTATCATTTACTTAACTACTATCTAATAATATAAATGGAAAGACTTTACAGTTTGTGTACTAAGGATATGTTATTGTTTTTTCTTCAAAGGGTCCATCGTGCTGGGAAGATGTCTTGATTCCAAACCAGATGAGTGGTGAATGCCAATCTCCAGGCTGCCCTGGGACTACAGCAGTGAGTACTTCATCAAATTAATTCATTTTAAAACAAGAAAATGAATATAGACTATAGCTTGAGTGTTTACTAAGACATTAGAGAAAAGATGAAAATGACAACTGATTTTTCTTCCACCTATTAATATCCAGTAGAGGTGATGTAATATCCAAATGTGTTAATAATATTCACCAAAAATTCCTTCATATCATTGCCTTCCAGGTTACTTTTCTAATGACTTCTCCACTTTTGGTGTTACGTAAAAAACCAACTCCTTTTCTTCCTTCCAACTGCACAAATAACAGATTTCTGTGACATCAAAAGGTGTGGGGAGTCCCCCCACCACCAAGCATTCAGTTCTGGAGCAGTGGATACCAGCTGGGTGCCCTCCAGTTCTGTTCTGACACTATCTGCCTTGAGCAGCAGCAGATCCCAAAGACGGAGTGTTCAGTTCCCCAAACTCCCCACTCTTTTCATATGTAGACTGCTATGTCCAGATTGTGTTACCTGTGTTTCTGGTCAACTAGCTATAAATTTGAGTTTACCCCGAACCCTCTCTACCCTGGATTCCAGTAACTTGCTAGAGCATTTCACTAGACTCAGGAAAACTATTATTTAACATTTGCTAGTTTATTATAAAGAATATTACAAAGGAGATGATGATGAAATGAAGTGATACCTAAGGCAAGGTAAAAGGGGCTGAGGGTGGAACTTCCATATTACAAGCATTCCACTCTCCAGGTATCCAGAAACTCTTCTCTCTGAACCCTGCCCCTTTGGATTTTTGTGGCGATTTCACTGCACAGGCATAATTAATTATATCATTGGCAATTGGTCATCAGCTTAAGCTTCAGCCCCTCTTCCTTCCTTGGAGGTTGGAGATGGGGTTGAAAATCCAAACCTTCTAATTCTTCTGTCTTGGTCTTTCTGGTAACCAACTCTTTTTTAAGCTACCTAGGGGTGACTGGCTACCACTCAATTTATTAGCATAGAAAAGACATTTATCACTTTGAAGATTCCAAAGATTTTTTGAGCTATATGCCAGGAACCAGGGACAGACATCATATATATATTTCATACTATCCTAGGCTACTATGTTGAAATGTGCCAATTTAGACTCCTGACAAAGGGATATATGTGGAAAATAGAGAGCATAAGAAAAGAAAAGCCAGTTGAAAGTCTAAAAAAAGAAAAATGACAAATATATAACATTAATCTTTTTCCTGATGCTATGATATTTTATCTCTATATCCCATATAAATCAAAGACTCCTGTTTTGCTTAATCTTTTCCTATATTTCTGTGTAGTTTCCTGACACAGGAGGCTGTTAAAATATGTAGTATGGATGGGCAGTTATATAACTGAATTATCAGCTTCTGTTCTGCGTAACCTGCTTCTCTTTGCAAGCATATGCTGTATGTTTCACAGAGAGTAGATGTTTCTTAAAAGAAATCCTAAGCTCTGAAGTTATTTTTAAAATAATTTTATTATTATCGTCATGCTTATCATTATATATTATTCTTCTTACTTCAAATATCTTTGTATCACCATGCTCTGACTGTGTATATTTCCTGAACTGTAAATACTGTTATGGTGCCAACACAAATGTCAGTGTAGTTCGCAAACTGTCACAGCCACCTGGCAGTTCATATCTTCTCTAAGAAACAAAGTCTGTCAATAGCAACAGGTACAGTGTTTGAGCTAGAATCATTACAGGAGGCTTCTCTTGCCAATCTGCAGGATAATTACAAGGATACCAATATAGCAGCAAGCAGCAGTCAAACAAGCATTCTTTATCAAACTCAGACTAGGAACCATGAACAAATTCTTATTAATGCACATGCTGAAGAAAAAGTCCTGAAGAAAAATAATGACTTGTATGTCACTCACAGATATCAAAGCATAATACTGTCATGCAAGTTTCAACCAGGAATAAAATTCAACTGTGTATACTTTATAGGGCAGAATTCTTAAGTATAATTTCATATGTATGCAATATGCAAATATATGTATACATCATAATATACATAAAACATATAATTACATGTAATTAAGCATATACATATGTTTGTATATATCCATGCATACATATAAACATCCATGCATCTATCCTTTAGTATATGTAATATCATCATGATCTTCACTTCATCAGAGCAATGTGCAGTCTTTTGAAAAATCTACTTCAGTAGTTGAATGTCTGCCTGCCTTTCATATTCCTTGATAATTGGCAGGATTTATTCTTGGCAGAATAAGCAATTCTGCATCTCTAAGGATTTATCTTCAAATCATCCAGAAGAGGGAAACTTTATTGGGTGGGTATTGAAAATTACGCTTTTTGCTTGTTGAATACTTAACTTAGTTATCAATTTTGTATGAATTAAGTTGTACTGCAACTCTATTTCCAACACGGTGAATTGATAGTTGTTAAACTTTGCTGTGTGCACTATAAGAATATACCGCATTAAATCAGAAAAGCAAATTTTAAAGAACAACTGCATTGCAACCTGGTAAGGAATGCAAAAATGAAGGAAAAGTTGAATTCAGGGAGGAAACTTCATAAGCTCAGCCAGTTTCTACCTTGAGGCAACCACTGACTATTGAGGGCGGGAGCTGCATATAAGACAGACACTCACAGGCCACACACACACACACACGCACACACACACGCACACACACAGCATTAGTCTTTAGGGCCTATACAAGGTGTAACATGAAACCAAAGACTTCCTACACGAAGTTAGGCCTCAAAATATGTGGCCTCATTGGAGAGAAAAGTGGTAGGAATCCTTGCCTATCTTGCTGTCACTCTAGGTAAAGGAAGAAATGTTACCTCGACGATATACTGTATACATAATGGAGTACTACTCAGCAATAAAGGATAAATTTGAGCCATTTGTAGCAAAATAGATGGATCTTGAGACCATAATACTAAATGAAATAAATCAGACATAGAAAGTTTTGGCTTCTCTTATATGAGAAACCAAAAACATAAATAACTTAAAGAGCAAAATAACAGTGAAATGGTAGAAAACAGGGAGACAGACTTTGTAGAGATTAGGAAGGGGATCTGGCAAATGGGAAGGAGTAGAGAGTGGGAGGAGGAGAAAGGGAAATATAAATGATAGAGATGTGATATCGATATGTACCAATTCCCCCATACAAATGTAATTATTATATATTGCACAGATATACTAACAATAAAAAAGCAAAAATAAATACTCCAGATAACCACACAAGGGACTGAAATAAAGTACAGGATGTCAAATTAGTACACAGAAGAGAGAGAGAGAGAAAGAGAAATGAAACTGCAAAAAGTAAGTAACCCACACCAAACCAGCAGAAACAATAAAAAGTATATATATCAATAATGGAATGAATGTAAATGGACTATAACTGAGTTTTAAAAGACACAGATTCTTAGGGTGGATTAAAAGGATAAAATTCAGCTTTGTGCAGGTTACAAAAGACATACCTAAAACATATGAAAACAAAAGCATTCAAAGTAGAAGAATGTAAAACATTTCAGACAAGTATTAACTAAAAATGCTGTTGAATCCATTTTAAATTCATATAAAGTAGATTTTAAGGGAAAAAGCATTACTAAAAGGGAAACTCCCTAGATTTTGATAAAATGTTTAATAACCCAAGAAGGTAAAGTACTTAAAAGTTGCCTGATGATAGTTATATAGACTCAAAATATATTAAAATGTCATTGTCAGAATTACCAAATTACATAGACAAACAGCCACCAGGATGGGAGAGTGAAGTAACTGGGAACTTTTCCAGTTATGAAGACTCAGGAAGGACACTGAGACTCACACAATCATGACTAATGGACTCAGGATGGTGGCCCCACATCCTTTTCTGCAGAAATATAAAACATATCAACAATTGCTTGTTTTTTGGACATTAAAGAATTAAAATATCATTAATAAAATATGGTAACTCTATTTCTTGAGTGAACAAAAAGACCCAAGTGGACATATGAAACCAAAAATAATACATCCCCTATCAAATATTTTGGGATGCAGCTGAATTAATATTTTAACAGACTTAGGAGCATAAACACATACTTTATAAAAGAACAGATAGAAAATTACTTATAAATATTTTAGGAAAAATGTGATATCCAAATATTTTTATCCCACATGTAATGAAAACTAAAGAAATATTTGTTAAATGAAGGGATTGGCAGTGTGCCTACTTTTAAATAACTATATCAGTGGCTTGCAGAAGTTATGTATTCAATGTGAGATATTTATTTCCTTCACTCTTTCTCTTGAAATCATTTTTCTGGAGTGCATTTTCACAAAGTAGCTGAATGTAAATCTTGATTTCTGCATTTTCTAACATCATTGTATGGTGTTTGTATCTTAAGAAGGTGAGATTATAAGCCTTTAAAGTAGTTTATCATACATAACTTTGCAGGATATTATTAATTTTTGGAAATATTTAAACACTATATATTATTGTCTCATTAAAAACTTTATATCCATACACTTAAAATTCAAAAGAGCAAATTACATATCTATTCTTAATATTTATATACTTAAGAATAGTCTAATTAGATCATTTTATTTTTTTGTAACATGGATCAAACTCAGCATCTTGCGCTTGCCAGGCAGGCATTGTGCTGCTGAGCTAAATCACCGGCCCTAGATAACTTTAAATAAGTGCTACAATTTAACGTTGGATTTTAAGAATTAAAATATAAACCTGACCCTAAAAATGCCTTAGATAGACAAATCTGAGCCTAGTTCAACTTTACACTAATTACTGTATTTTAGAAAGGAGTACAGCATCAGTACTAAAAGGCAACTTTTTCATAAAAAGAATTCTAGTTGGCTCAGAGTATATGCTTGAGATCAAAATGAAACAAAATCAATTACAATTTTTTCCATTAGTGAAATTAATTCAACTTTGAATATGGCCCAAGACTTTAAATTTTCTTTGCCATTTTTTTTTAATTTTTTAAATTATTTTTTACTTTTTTTTTTTTTGGTACTGGGGATCGAACTGGG